ACCGCTCTTAATATAACTAGTGCTAATTTTATAATTATATTTAGATCCGTTGTTTTGAAGTGGAGTGGGTAGGTGGGTTTTGAATTCATCCAATTATTATTATTATACAAACCATTTGTATCATTTTTTGTTGAATTTTACGGTAATACAAAATAATTTTAGAATATATAGCGTGACCAATGCTTGGCCCCATTCTATATTTAAAATTGGGATGTTACGGTAAAACCCTAAAAAGTTACATATCAATTGATTGAAAATAATTGAAAAACCTAATTATTAATGAAATTAATTTTCTTCCAATTTACTCTTTATATCATTTTACTAGCTATTATCTTATCCTTGATGTATTGGACTCTCGAAATATCTATCTCATTTTAATTCGATATGTATATATATAATAGTTTCTTAAATTCTATGTGTAAAATTTAAATAAATTAAATTTTCTAAATTCATGACAAAATACTATTGAAATGAGGAGAGAAAATTGCATTTTTACTTGCTCTAATTTTTTAGGTTTACAAATGATTATTACAATACAATGATACGGTCTAAAACTCGCTAGAAATTGTTAGGAACCAAAATGTTTATATTATAAAATTTATCTGCATTAAATTAATTTATATAAAATTAATGGAATTTAATATTAATTTTCTCAATAAACCTAAAATAATAAAATCTCTTTCTTCATCAATTCAAACTATCAATACTTTAATAATTAATTTTCTAAATTATTCTATATATATCGACTTGGAGTTTGTGCAGAAGTATTCGATCCTACCATTGGATTCGTTCCACAAGATTCATTTTGAACCTCATTTTGAATGAAAGTTTCAACAGGCAAAAAAAAAAAACGGTAATTTCGAAATAAAATTTACTGTGAAATAATGGAATTACAGGTCGGACCATGCAATGCAATAACTATTCTATATGAATACACAGATCCTGAATTTAATTTAAATGTACCACCAGCTGTAAAGCCTATACCTTTTCTTCTCATTTATGGTGCAAACCTTTTTGTCCTGCCCCAGGGGATATAAACAATTATTTAATTCAATAATCAATAAATTACATTTTTATATACAATTTCAAGAAGAATAATGAAATAATCAGCGTGTTTTGGATATATATATTATATTTATATGCAACACAGTATCATATACAGACGATATGTCAGAAATCGAAGTATACGTGTATGTATATGTCGGGACAAAATATCAGTCGTTGGTTAGTAGTTATCAACAGTGGCATTAGTTAATTAATTATTATTTGAAGCCAAATCATACACTGTTTTCTTTATTTAATTAAGGATTTATCAGTACTTTGTTAGGGCAAAGATAGTATATGAAATTCGGAACTACATTCCATATTTTGGTTCACGACAAATTGGTATCAAAATTATTTGTGATCTAATATAACTATATATATATATATATATATATTATATTCACATTATTAAGATGGAGGATTTATAATCACATGTATTTATTGACAGATCTAGAAATAGATATGATTGGGGGCATAGTAAGAATAAATTTAATTTTATTATGGGGGCATTTAATGTTATTAATCAAAATGTTATAGAATTTGTAATGAAATTATACCTTTTTTTTTTTAATTTGATAGTGGGACATTGGACCCCATTCTCTTATACGCGTGTTGTGAATTGATTAAAATATTGAAGATTATTGAAAAAAGGATATGTTCGCTTTAGAACGTGAAAACAATGTCATGAACTGACGATCGATCGATCGTTTGTTCGAGAAAATAACATTACCAGACGATAAATTTATCGTTAATGACGACCGCTCTATCGTAATGGATGATAGGTCTACTGTGGTTTCGGACCAAAATGTCCAGAGAACAGGATCGCTCTATCATATGAGACGATCGGTCGATCGGGGTCTCGTATGAAATTGTTCGGAATTACGATCAAGTTATCATCTCGGATGATAGGTCGATCGTGACTTCGGACAAATTTATCCATACGACATGATCGATCGATCGTCTTTTGACGATAGATAGATAGATCGTGGCTTTGAAAATGAAGAACATTATCCGACGATCGATTTATCGTCAGGGACGATCGTTCTTGCGAGTTTATGTCTATGTATTAACAATTCAAGAGAGCATTTCTTTTCATTGCATCTTAAATTAAAGACGTATTATCTTACAGGCGTATTACCAAAAATCTTTTATTCGTGTGGAATGAAATAACGTTTTCAAAAAATGTTGTATCACGATTTAAAGAGTTATACGGTTACCTTTTTCATTTCTTATTGTTCTAACACAGAATTCATAAAAAATCCTACTGGAATATTATTTTCCTTTGAAAATTTCCAAAATTACAAAAGTACGTCCAATGATAGATATATATGGCACGTAGCCATATGCTCCTTCCGCATGTGTGTATATTTTATTACCAGATGTTAATTCCATGTCATACATCAACATTGGGAACGGGTTTAGGGTTTAATTATTTTCTTGGTCAACTTTAACTTAGGATTAATAATCACATTAGTTTATTTCTTATTCGCGTGAGGTGAGGGGGCATGCAGTGTGACATATAAACAATTGGTGTTGAATAAAGATCTGTGAATATGTAATTTCGAGAAAGTAGGATTATCAAACGTTTTATATCTAAAAAACTAATTAAAATAAACCGAAAAATATATAAAAGTATTGTTATTCAATATATAAAAATGAATTTATTTAAATTTTATTGAATGAAACTTTATGTCTCGTTAGCTTTGCTTGGAATTGGAAGTGGCCAAATCCGAGCATTGACTCTTTCTTCAACGTCTTATTCTCTGTCCATAACTGTTGCTGATGTTCATGAATCATCTCTCTCTCTCTCTCTCTCTCTCTCTCTCTCTCTCTCTACCAAATCTCTCAACCTCTGCTCTTTAAGTCATTTTCATTTTCTTCTGGGTTTTGCAAATTTCACTCGTAAATGGCACAGAAACACTTGAGAGAGCTTCTGCAAGAAGAACAAGAACCATTTCAGCTCAAGCACTTCATCGCCGACCGTTGTTTTCAGATCCGACAACCATGTCGGAAAACCGATTTGAAGGCCAAGAAACGAAAGCCCATCTCCGGAAACCCTGGATTCCCTTCGAATCTCTGCGAGAGCTCGTGCTTTTCCTCTGGTCTTAATTCATCTCCTGAGCTCAGATCGCCGGGAAATCGCCAGAACCGCTTTTACATACAGGTTCCGGCGACAACTGCAGCGATTCTCCTTGAAGCCGCGGCGAAGATTCAGAAGCAGCCGTCGTCATCGAAGAACGCGAAATCGAAGACACGAAACAGAGGAAACGCGTTCGGGTTATTCGGGTCCGTCTTCAGGCGGCTCACGGACCGGAGAGCCGAAACGCTGTTTCCTGAGGTGAAACTGCGATTGCAGAACGCGGAGGTGGAGGGAGATTCGTTCTCCACGCGGACAAACGCGGTTTTTTCAGAACGCGTGAGGGATAGCGATTCAGAACCGTCGAGCAGCAGCCAACGCGGAGAGAGTTTCGAGGTTAGAAACGCAGACGCTGGATATTTCAGCGTCTGCGATAGCCCTTCATCCTCCTCCGGCGAGCAAACTCCCCATTTCACGTCTCCGGCCACGTCGCCGACGCTCCGCATTACAGAGGTTTGTCTAAATTCTCTATTTTTATTCATATTATGATTAGACCCAAATCAAATATTAATCCAAATATTATCACTAATCCAATAATTAACAAAATGAAGAAAAAAAAAACATTCTATGGAGAAAAAAAAGGGACATCTGATCTCTGAGAAGATCAGAGACACATGGGGCTAAAGTGTTCTGGTTTTGTTGATGTGTCTGTATCATAAGGTGTTCAGTGGTACGGTATAAAAAAATCTTCCACTTTTTTTTTTCTGTGTTCATGGTCGGAATTTCATCTCGTTGAATTACGCATATGCCCCTGTCTGATTTAGGAGGGTAAGATCATGTTATAGGGGTGTTTATGTCCTTTCATGAACAGCGGTCAACATTCTGAACCTGATACCACACCTGTTTTGATTGTTGCACCTCACTAGCCCACGAACTAACTTTCCAGCAAAATTAAAACGGAAGCAATAAACTAACAGTTTTAAAAAAAAAAAAAAGATTGTTTTGTTATTATTTTAAAGGATGATATAAATTGAATGCATAATATTCCTGAATTTTAGCATACTATAATATAAAGAAAAATGGCAATCGAATAAATGATTTATGGGGTTGCAATAGTAAAATGTGACTTGTGAACTATGAACATTACCCTCAATTTATAGAGTTCAATATTTCTGATTATATCTACTAAATAATCATATTAGTTCTTATCTCTTTGCGAGATGTCAATTTGGTCAATAATTCTGAATTGGATATGATAGAAAGATTGTTATAATATATACAATTTAATACGTTTTGGTTTATATAATTATTGAAAATAAACCGAACATATTCTTCAATACGAGTTTCGTCTGTATTCTCTCTTCTTTTGGAACGTTTAGTCTCTCCGTGTTTAGGCACAACTAATTGTGGATTATAGCTACTAACTAAGTATATATATATATATATATAATAATCCACTTAATTAGTTATAAGCATATTTCAGAAAATAGTAAGACATATATGATCAATGTGCATGACCATGACCTAGGAACTGTGTAACGATGAGTTGTAACAGGTCGACGAGACAGTGAGTTTGAAAGAACAAGAACGTGAAGAAGACAATGAACAATGTAGTCCTGTCTCTGTTCTTGACCCTCCTAACGATAAGGACGAGGACGAGGACCTCGATCTCGATCTCGAATGCAGCTTTGAAGCAGTACACAGTATGTTTCTCTACCATTGATCATGTTTTCGTTCGATGTAAACCCTGAAATCTGCAAATGGATATATCGACAGATAATGAGAAGTATTGAAATTTCAAAGACGGATATAAATTGTCACGGAATTTTGATTATTCTATATAGCTTTCGTAGATCGTTCCCCGATATGAGGTTTAACCGGTTTTATTATGTATTAGTCTTTTTCTTTTCTTTCACGATTCTTAAGAGTGTTGCTTCTATTTTCTTGTTGATCTGATGATGGTTTCGGAAAATTGATTGTTATATCGACTGTTTAACCGTAATATCCGCTATGTTAATCGGTTATTTTGGTCGTTTTATCCACTAGGAGCAAAGCAGAGACTGCTCGAGAAGCTTCGTAGATTCGAGAAACTAGCGAAATTGGACCCAATGGAGCTCGAAAGGAAGCTCTCGGAACAAGAAGAAGATGAAACCCTAACATTATACGACTCCGAGGAAGATTTAGGCGGAGGTTTCAGGGGAACGGAGGAAGAATCGATCTCACGGGATGACGACCAGAAGAATGATCATCGAGGTGGAAGCGAATGTCGGAGATGGAGAATGATAAAGGCGTGGAAAGGATTCAAGTTCGGGTTCGGATTCGAAAGCATAGATGAAATCATGGAGAGAGATGTGAGAGAAGGTTCAAGAGAGTGGATGAGGCAACGAGTGGAGGTTCAAGAGGCTGCCTGCGATGTAGAACTTTCTATTTTCTCCTTCTTGGTCGAGGAGTTCTCTCTCGAGCTTGTCTTTCGTCCATAACTCAATTAATCCATCAACTACCAAAGGTATGTATATAATATCTCAAATATATATATAATATTCTAGAATGATAAAATGAAATACTTTTGCTATGTGTATATATATATATATAATATGGTTTGAATCGTAGTCGCATCCATAACGAAAATTTTGATGTCTAAATACAGAATCGAATTTGAGATAAAACGTTTTTATAAAATCGGCCGAGCGTTTTTTGCTATAACCGTACAGATGATCTTTTAGATATTATTTTATGATTAGGTCAGTAAACATTTTGTGATACAATCCGAAATAACAAAAGTTATTCATGTGATATTTTTATTTCCGAGGATGTATGGTATACTTTTTGGATGTATATTTCATTACAGATAATGAAATTGATGTGAATAAATTAGATAAAAGAGGGTCAATTTGAATTTAATAATTTTTATTTGTAGAGCTGTCGTGGGGATTATGAACTTAATGATGGGACAATCCATCTAACTCCATTATTTAAAGACACCTATTAATCATAATTTCCTTGCCTTTTTTTTTAAAAAAATTATCTATATATAGACAGCTCATGGATAAGTTTAACAATTTTTTTTATAAACATCCATAAAGTAATAATTTCTTAAAAACATGATTAGAGTGTACGAAACTTTTCGAGTATAGATCTGTATAAAAGTAAAAACATGATATTTTTTTATACAAATTTGTGAAATCTGAAACGTTTTTAGTGGTGAAATTTGAAACATTTCAATAAACATACATGCCTAAGTTAGATTATTGAATATACGAATATACGAAATGTGGAATTTTGAAGAGAAAATTAGATCGTGTGGTATAAGTATAGTCTATATTTCGTCGTTATTTGTTTGTTTGATTTTCAAATCTATAATTATTATGATTCTATTAAAAGAATTATTTTAAAAATTATTTTCATCTTTTTCCTTTTATATTAAATTCAAAATCAAACAATTTAATTTTAAAAATAATATTTAATTAATTTTTATTCAATAATGTATAATAATGTATTACATATTATATAATGAAATGGATTACAACTATTAATATTTTTAGAAAACTATTAAATTTGGGGAAAATATTAACATAAAAAATGGATTGGAATTTATTTAAGTTTTAGTCTTAGATGGTCACGTTTTCAAAGTCTGGATTCCATTAAGTCTGCTTTCCAAATTAGTTAGGAAATTCAATATTTATTTATATAATTAAATTAATAAAAATAGATAGATCAAATATTTCATTTTATCATTCTAGATTACACGTTCGCGTAAATATAAAAGTACCTCATGAAATGAATCATATACGTAAAATACTAACATAACTATAATACAATTTTTTTTTTCATAATCAAAGTATCTAATTAACAGAAAATCCAACTAAGGGTCGATGTCATATCATAAAGATGTTCATTGGACTCGTTCAGACAAGAGTATGATCTTAATTATTAGAAAATCAAACTTAGGATCCATCGTCGACCATGCATTGGAAACTTCATAATATCTTTGTGATAAAACATTATTATCTCTTTTCATTGAAAATGTAAATCAGATCAAACTCTGTTCATGTAAAAAAATGTTATGATAAAATATGACCATGTATATCATTTAATATTATTAATTATGAAACGTCGTGGCAACCAAGTTTGTTAACTTATTATTATTATTATTATTATTATTATTGGACGTACCTAAAACCACCAAGACCCGTTGACCGCAATTCACATATAATTCCGAAACAACCCTTCTCTGCCCCAACGCGACCAAACAAAGCCATGGCGGAGGAGACAGCCACTGTTCGAATACAGCAAATGCATCAGAAGCTTAAGCAGCCGCCTCAGCTGCTCAGCTCGGCGGCTGGAAAACCCACTTGCTCCATCTTCAGAGTCCCTCAGAGCATGATCGAAGTCAACGGAAAGTCTTACGAGCCTCGAGTCGTCTCCATCGGACCGCTCCACCGCGGAGAAAAGCACGTGAAAATGATCGAAGAGCATAAATGGCGCTACCTAAACGCACTTCTCGCAAGAACAAATGATTTCTTGTGCCTTGAGGATTACGTAACCTCTGTCCAGAGGGTCGAAGATGAAGCCAGAGAGTGTTATTCGGAGACCATTCCCATGGATTCTGATGAATTCAACGAAGTGATGGTCCTTGACGGTTGTTTCATCCTTGAATGTTTCCGAAAAGTCGCAAAGTTGGTTCCTTTCGATCCCGATGATCCGATCGTCGCCATGTCGTGGATCTTGCCCTTCTTCTACAGAGATTTTCTCCGTCTCGAGAATCAGATCCCGTACTTTGTTCTCGAGATTCTGTTCGACCTCACAAAAGATCAAGAATCCAACGTTTCTTTATCATCTTTGGCTTTCAATTTCTTCAACAACGTAATGCACAGGACAGAGACAGATCTCGCGAGATTCAAGGAACTCGGAGGGAAACACCTCTTGGATCTTGTCCGAACAAGCCTCCTACCCGCGTCTGATCTCCACGCGCCGCCGCCACGACGGAGGCCGACGCCGTCACACATCATCCACAGCATCTCGAAGCTCCGTCGCGCGGGGATCAAGCTCCGGGAACTCTCCGGAGACGACGAGGAGAGAACCTTAGGCTTAAGCTTCCTAGTCGTTAGATTCAGACACGGAGTCATCGAGATGCCGACGATAACCATCGACGATTTCATGAGCAGCTTCCTACAAAACTGCGTGGCCTACGAGCAGTGCCACGTGGCGTGCTCTAAACACTTCACCACTTACGCCACGTTCTTGGACTGCCTCATCAACACGTACGTGGACGTGGAGTACCTGTGCGACCGTAACATCGTCGAGAATTATTTCGGCACGGAAGGTGAAGTTGCGAGCTTCGTGAATAAATTGGGAAAAGACGTGGCTTTCGACATAAATGAGTGTTATTTAAGCGACTTATTTAACCAAGTGCATGAATATTACAAGAGTAGCTGGCACGTGCAATGGGCTAGCTTCAAGTATACGTACTTTAGTTCTCCATGGTCTTTTATTTCTGCCCTTGCAGCTCTTGTCTTGTTGGTCTTGTCCATTCTACAAACGTTTTACACTGTTTATCAAGTTTATATGTAACCCATTAATTATATATTGATAGAGAGACATATATAATCTGTTTCTTTCTATGTTCTAGTGATATAAGATTCTTGAATGATTGGATTTTCCTTATGTTACAATGATATAAGATTTATTCTTTACATTCTCATGACCCCAATGTTGTTTTACATCCTCGTGAATTTTAATACTTAACTCAAACAAAGAATATAAACAGACTTGAACTCATTAGAAAAGAGGACTAATTAAGTCACCCAAACACAATAAAACTCTTGGATTTACCCAACTTTGGATAGCTCAACCGGTGAAATAGCTAGGGAGCAAATCGTTTGTTCTGTCTTGAGTTCGAGCCTCAAGTTGGGGAGAAAACGTATATTCTAATCACATGGTTTGCTTTTGATCTCGGGATTAGTCTTATCTCGGCCAGAATACCCGGTTACCCAAAAAAACCTCAGTCTATGAATGTTCGGATATTGATTGAATGGTGATGATATATAGGATGCTAGTGTTGTTTGGAATAACATCAATCATCATCAAGAAGTTAGACACATTTTGTCGAGGTCCGTGATTTGGATTAAATCCTTAAACTCTTGGTTTTTTTAATGATGTTGGTTGTTTGATGATTAATGGTAGAGACATGATTGCTTGTTATTAAATTTTTTGGATGTTTTGTGATGTTTGGTATATTCTAAGTAGGGGTGGCCAATTCATGTTTCGCTTCGGTTATATTCGGATTCAATTATTTCGATTATAAAAAAACTATAACCATTCGGTTTTTATATAAATTTTGGTTCGGTTTGGTTCGGTTTCGGTAAAAAGTTCATTTTTTAAAGAAATTATCGGGTTTTCGGTTATTTTTTTATTCTGTTTAAGAAATCATAACCGTTCGGTTTTGATATCGGATTCGGTTCGGATACAGTTATGTCTTATTCCATTGGTTCAGCTTGGTTATTCGGTTAATAACCGAAATGGCCACCCCTAAATCTAAATATTGTTAATATTTTGGACCGAGAATGTTTTATATGTTGCATGTTTGTATTATTGAATCGATAATTTTTTTTATAATCCGAAAATTCGTCAAATCTTCGTTCCAACTATATCTTGATATAAAAAGTTAACCTTGTTCATAAATTAGAGCGTGATATTTAATAACTTTGGTAATGGATTGGACTTAGAAATGGGATGGTCGTGAGTTAATTACGTGTGTGACAGTATAGAGCACACATTAATTAAATATTGATAATAAAAGATATCTACATTGTAAGAGTTTGTATGAATATGGTACAATCAATCAATGTTCTAAAAATTTGTATACGATGTGTAGCAACTATTACAAGAAAATGACCGAATACATAAGTACCATCTTGATATTCCAGAATGTATGAATTTAAGAGTTTGTATGAACTTTGAATTTTGAATCTCTTGTATTCCAAAACCATCGATTTCGTTCTGTATTTAAGTTGTTTTTAATATTTTATTTTTCATCTTTTCATATTCCAAGTCAGTTGTAAATTGGTATTTATAAATATCTATATTTTCCGATATTCAAAATTCTAGATATCGAAAAATATCGAATTGGATATAAATAATAAAACTGAATAATATTTAGATATGGAGAAAAAAACTCGAAATTCAATGCGTGTCTAGAAAATTCTCCTTTGGATCTTGTTAATGGATACCTAATTTATATATATTTTAAAACCCTTTGGCCTAATCGTAGGGTTATAAGAAAGGAACCACTAATGAAATATTGCAAACTAAGCATGAGGACCACATGAAATATAGATGATTAGACCTCTAATTGTGGTGCTTAGAAGCCAATTTCTGCTCCGATCACTACTTTATGAAAAGATAATTATCACTTCCATTGACTGATCCCAATTATACACTACACAGATATATATAAGCCAGTGAATTACATTATCATATTCATATAAGTACATGTAAATAAGTATGTAATCTTCATGCATAAATTCAACTCCTTAATATTGTAATAATTATTAGCTATATAACATATACAAGGTAATTCATTTTACCAAAAAAAAAATATACAAGGTAATTAGCACTTAATTAGTTTTTTTGAATATTTGACTTTCGACCGGACACATATTCCTCAAAATAAATCGGAGGGCGACACTCCTTGACTTCGAGAAGAATGCAAGTCCAATTAAAAGTGGCCACGTGGCACGACAGCAGCAGTTTGATCCTGACCCGGCAACACATTATCAACCAAGTCTATGTAATGTCGTGTGACATATAAGTTATATATTTTTTATTTACCAAATGCGGAATTCATAGGCTTAATTATAGTAAGGTTTCTTTTGTATGAGGCTGCAAGTGCAAGAAAATTATTACAAGCATATATGAAAAATGTTACATAACAAAATAAAAACATATTTTCTATAATGAAACTGCAAGAAAATATTTTGGGTAACAAATAGTTATTAGTTTTTTTTTTTGGTTGAATGTGATTGTACATGAGTCATTGAAAATAATATAATATATATATTACATATATATATCCTAGAATTTTACTTTCTAAATTCTATTTTTTTATTCTACAACTTCACAAACTTGACCTAGATATGTACCTATATAAGATGTTACGCCTATACATGCAAATAATAAACAACTTATAACGGTAGATTAAAGCAATGGTTTCTTATGGTTTGGGAAAAAAAAATCAACAAACATATGATTCGTATGAGACTTGTGTATACGAATAAGACTATAGGTACCAACTTTTTTTAATTTTATTTTTTGCGTTCCTATTTTTTTTTATTGATTTCTTCAACACTCCGCATTTTTTTCTCGCATTCTAGAGTTTTATTTTATGCATGCGAGTGGGATATTCAGTCCCTCTAATTAATACGCATAAATTAATTCATCATATCATCAAAGGAATCCACATTATACACTGCTCTCATCAATCAACAAACGTTGTTATATTCATGACCATGCATGTACATAACTAGGCAGCATCTTATTACAAAACACAATATAAAAGGAACCACACCCATATGCACATATATATATATATATATATATATACCTACATAAGTAGATACACATACGTACATACACACATATATATATAAATATAGTCAACTCGTTTTCTGATCAAGGAAACTTCCACAAATGATCATCAGCTCCAACGAATCCATCTTCACCACCGAAGGCACCACCGTGAAGTCGAGGTGGGCTGAGAAGCATTCCTTCAGCCATATTCATGAGCACATTTGGCATGTCGAAGATCAGATCCTCGTCCATGAATCCACCACTCACATTGTTGTTGTTACTACTAGTCATCATTGATGCACTACCCTCTTGATGATGCACTCCGGTATTATTATTATTATTATTATTATCTTGATAGCTCGTCTCACGGTTCTTGATTGCGTCATTAGCCGCTCCAAGAGCGGCTGC